AGTGTGTGGTAAACTTCTTTTAAAAGAAACATATCAAAGTAAATTATTTTTAGTTTGAAAATATGATTGTACCTATGAAAATAGATCCTACCAAACAAAATATATATCATTATGGACAATAGAATTAGATAAACTCATTCAATAACATTTTCATTAGTATTTTCGAGCAATCCACAGGGACTGTAAGCCAATGATTAATGTATAAACATATAGGTATTAAATACTGCATGATGTTTAGATAAGAATGCCACATTAGGATTCGAACTTGTAAGACCCGAGTATGTAAATCCAGTCTTGTTCTTAGAAAAGAAAAAAAAAGATATAACCAAATAAAATATATTCCATGAGATATCTATAGCATAGACAATATGTACTGGATATGTACCTTTGCTGGAATCCAAAGATAACAAAAAAGACACTATCAAAATCATACAATAGGTATTAAATATAGTTACGGCACATACGGTGTGTCATTTGTTCGTCAAGCCCTGACCTAATTAAAATTATACCGATCAACAATGAAAGATGTCAAATATATGTCATATAGGAAGGATTGCATAGTAAATAGCTTTCTGACAAAAAGGATACATGAAGATGGCTGAAGATTTGTGGAACAAAATGGAGAACGACAACAACAATGATATTTGTGGATATTTTTTTAGCCGTATGAATGTATCGCCATCCTTTGCGATTTAATGAAACAGATACATGACACAAACAGTTATATTTATTTCCTAATTATTCCAACATTTTCAACGAGGATTATGCAATTAACGTTTCATCTTTAGATCACCGCGATATCTAAATATCTATTATTTGAAGTAACAGAGGATCAATGTGTATTGGTGTTCTAAAGGTCTTAGCAGATTGGATGATCACTGTTATAGTGATCCTGCCTTCGCATTTGATGCAAGTACAAATATATTATGTGCAGATTATAACATCTTAACAGATATATGGCATGATGATTGAGAGTGACTTAAAGATGAAATTAGCAGGGTATTATTTTCATTTTACAAAAGAAACCATGCTTCTTATTTGTCAAAGATGGTTACATGGAAAAGGATGGTGAATACGGGAGGAAAGCGTCAGCATCATTAATAATGTTCGTATAAGTCATCGATCTTTATGGATACAAACAGCATTTTGATGCTTTGCTCAGTAGAGATATAATTATAAAATAGCGCAATTATATTTCTATATTTAGTTATCGTTTGAGATGATTATTTCTTCATTTGATCACTTATTGTTTCAAGTGGAATTTTATTTGTGAAATCATGTGGACATAAAGTGGGATGCAAAGGACAATGATAGGTTGGACTATAAATTTCAATTGGTCTTCTAAATATTTTACTACGTAGACATTGTAAGAATGCCTTAAATTAATCGTTTAAAAATGTAAAATATTCATCATCTATGTATTGTACGGGTTTGCTTAGTTTACACCTTATGTGGATTGCAGAATCAGCAAAAAAGTCTGCATTTGATATATTTATTTTGACTGTGTAATTTGATGTCTTGTGTCGTAGAGAAGGCACATGTGTTCCATTTGACATTCTTAGTTTTCATCTTCATACACGTCTTAAAATATTTTACAAGTTGTATATTAACGGAAATCAAATGGGTGGAAACTAGGATGCAGTTATAATAATATGTCCTAAGTTCATTTTATGAATCTACACATTTTATTTAAAAAGCAAACTTGTTGGTCTTCACAATCTCGTGGTTTAGGTGTCATTTATTCACCATTTACAATATCAAACTGGTCAATACATATGTATAGAGCGGACCAAACTAACGGACTTAGAATGAAAAATTTAGAATGTGCAGCTAGTTAATGCTAAGCGTTCGATTTATTTATTAAAATTTTATATGATTGATTCGTTCAAAAGGGAGACACAAATAAAGAAACAATTCAATTTGTGAAAGTAAAGAAATAAAAGGATAATATTGTATAATCATTTCTCTATTATTTAGCTTGTACGTTAAGGAACATATGAAAGACAAACTTTGTTGCATTTATTCCTCTCAAATCACTAAATGTGCGAACGATTGTATGTGTCTGAGTTATGTACGTATCTTTAACAACTTATTAACATCTTACCCAGTGGCAATTATTATTTAGTAAAAAATACTCGCAAAATACATTATACTTAATATGTTAAACATATGTACCTATTTAACTTATGAATTACATTAAAACATTTAAACTAATTCTGCTGGTATAGATGACTTGCTGAAAATCAGATAATTATAAACATACATACATATGTACAAGTATATCATATGCATTATTCTCTCAAATATAAAATCCCACCAGCATATACATTAGCACATATGTATATTTGCAAACATACATCCAAAATTTTCATATACAAGTAGTGTGAGAAATGAGAAAAGTGATCATTCAAATGAAAGAGGATACGCTATATTCCCTTTTGTTTTACGTATTACGTGCCCAACAACGTTCCTTTATGCAATATATCATCTCCCTCTAGATTTTAACACTCCGTACTATTCCAGGGTATTTTAAAATTTGTGACTACTTTTCCACTTTCCTAAAGCGCCCATTACACTACCGTTAAGTGTTGGATTATGTGAAGTACTTGTAAATGTTGAATCTTGGATCAAACATTTCACTTAATGTGACACAAATCTTAAGCCTCTTGTTCTTCTCAATCTGTCGTTGTAGCTCTAAGACTTAATTGTTATTTCGTACATGAAATATATGCTTTTAAACACATGATTGGTATTTCACTAAAGTATTAGAGCGTTTAATAGCAAAAGGCTTTAGGCGAGACTAGTCCTGTATTAGAAAAGACAATGGAAACAATCAAAACGTTACAAGAAATAAAAAAGAAAATGCAAGAGAAAAAAATCCAAAAATGACGAAACTAACACACAAATTAGAAATACAGTGAATAATTTATTTCAATGAAGATAAAATATTAAATTGGACGCATTGGATAAATGTTATCAATGGAACTGGAATGTGGCGATCTGTTAACGGTTTTGATGTATGTCGATCAAATAATCCAAAATGTCCTGGAATGAATTCACAATAATTACAAGAAATGAATATTACAAGAAGTATTAATAAGCAATTTACAATAAAATTTATTATTTTAAATATATAATCCAGTCATTTGGAATCTGAACACAACACTGTCTTAAGTATAATTCCACTTCTGTTGTTAAGATTGGTATTAGTAATTCTGAAGTAAACACCCATTACGCAAACAGCTCAAATGCAATAACAACGCAAGGATAAAGACAAATTTTGTCTTCAAAATGGTACTTGCTACTATAAAATTCTTAATTTATTTTATAATAAAGTCGGTATAACTAAACATACTTACCACCAATTAATAACTATCTTGACTGAAATTATATATAACTAGATACATGATAGACAGTAACAACAGATCAAAGCATTCGAAACACATAATATTTATCAGCATATGCAAGATATCTTAACTCATGACAAAACGGACTTTAAATAATGTGTGTTTTAACACCAAATGTATTTCATACAAAGGATACTCCATAATTTTTAACATCATTGCCTGTCAAAGACGCAAAGACTGATATCCAACTATTTGTATCTCGTTCATTTTTATGTTGTCTATCCTGAGTAGATATGTCCGAATATACTTAAACGTGCCAGAAAATGGGAGCAAATCTAATTTATGTGACAGAATTTTATTGCATTATATGCTGCCATTTCATGTTCTCTATTCATCATTCAGGTATTTCCGTCAGCAGTGTGAACAACGACCGGAAGAAATCAGTTAATCAATAATATCATGATAGATATTAAAACATCTGACGATGACTTGGAAATTTTATAAGGTCGAGCATTCTTAACGATTTCAAACGCTTCGTTGCCTAATGCGTTATATATCAACGACTTCGAAACATAATAAACATCGCTATTTATAACACACAATGGATGAACGTGATGATAGTTTAAAACGAAAACAAAGGAACTAAAAATGATTTACACGAAAACTGTGGATGATATTTTAATCATCTCTGAAACTAACGTGATGAACATGTTCTACTGGAAACCATTTTATTAAATGGCAATGACGAGTGCAAGAAGCAGACCAAATGACGTGCGATAGAAGAAACACTGTATATAGTAAGAAACAGATGAACACATACATACATACATACATACATACATACATACATACATACATACATACATACATACATACATACATACATACATACATACATACATACATACATACATACATACATACATACATACATACATACATACATACATAATTATATATATATATATATATATATATATATATATATATATATATATATATATATATATATATATATATATATATATATATATATGAAAGCAATAGCATTAAGAAAATAAGAATACAAATTTTTATTTTTTTCAACGTGATGGGATGTTAATAAAATTCGCATGGAAAGGTAACATCAAATCGTTGATAGGAAAACTTATTATAGAAAACAGACTGGACAGAATTATTAGCCATGCTACTGAAGTATAATGATGGAACTATATTTAGAGTAAGCACTTATTAAAATTTTGATTTATAGTGCAACTGAACCATGAATGAGTCTGATAGTATACTTGTGTGTATAACGTCTAACAGCTGTTTTACCAGATGTTTTACGGGCACAAAGTTTTATAGCTTTACAAGAAAAATGGACCTTATCACGCAACTTCAACGATTGATCAACCAAAATTCATAGCATATAATGTGTGTGTGACTTGGATTTTTAACGTACCTTTAACCCCTTTTCAGTCTTATATCTACGATGTCCGCAGTTATGTAGTTTATAGTGATGTCTAACACTCATTCATCATGCCGCAGGAATGTATCATTATATCCCACACAGTCACAATATCTGACACCAAGTCGACCCATCCTAACACTAACTTCTTAATTGCTGAGATCCAAACGAGGCAGATGTTAGTATCATTTTTGCAAGTCTTTATATAACTCGATCGGGGATAGAACCCACGACCTTCCGCATCCAAGGCTGATGATTTAACCACTAGGCCACCAGAGCTGTCTATGCAATTTGTACACAAATATAACTAATATATGAATATGTCATCTTCGATAACGACTGTATATAATTTATAAAATACATATGTACAACACACGACTCTACTGCCAAGATTATCAAAGTAAAGGATTTATATAAGAATCTGAAGAATATACAATTATATAACCAAGGTGATCAATGAATACAAATTTGAAAAACAATTTATGAATAACGTACGATTTTCACTCTTGTAGTGATATTGGATAAATGATTTCATTCATACAATGTTATTGTAACATGTTGATTCAAAAGTTTAATATGAGCATCTCATGACAACCGATTTGAGGGTCATCAACACTGATCGAAAGAACAAAGAGCCAGCTAAAACAGCCTGCACCTCAAAGTCTTCTGAAGATCCCTCCACCGCCTAACTATTATTTGCAACTCCGTAGTTCCCGAATATTTTCTCCCTTATTTCGCATAAACCAGAATCGCCCATCACAGCCAACGTCACCATCGACAGCAGTAAATGGGTTACACGAAACCATACAGCGTTCTATGACTGCCCGTCATGCAAACAGTTACACTTAATATGATTGAGCCGTGTAGTACATGATAAACGATTAGATACGATACGAATTCATGTCAATACTCTATTCATTCGTTTACATGAATTGACTTCGTTACACATTAAAGAGTTTTATCTAAACGATATTATTGTTATATTAGCCATGTGTTAACATATCTTCAAGTCTTATAAGAAGAACTCTAAGCATACCGGCCATTTATTGCAGGCATCAAAAAGATTTTGATTGCATTTTAAATATGAAGACACTCTGTCTGTTAACATGATTTTCTGCATAATTTAGACTACATTCATCAACATTCAAAATATAAAACTATTATATCACATGAACCAGAGGATTGCCCCCGTTAAGGTTATTTGTATATCTCTTTTTTGAAAACTTGTACTGACAGCTGCAATCTAGTCCCTCAGCAATTAAGAGGTTAGTGTTAGGATTGAGTGGCCAGGTGTCAGGATATTGTGACTGGGTGGGATATGATGCTACATGTCTGCGGTATGATGAACCCAGTCCTAGACATCGCAATAAAGTGACGCATTGCAATCTATGTTAGCAATATGACTGGAAAATGCTACGTTAAAAATCTAAATCACAAGCATACGTCAGCGGGGGAGAGAATTTTCATGGAAAGATCATTACCGTATCAGACTCATAAACCAATATATAAAAACATATAACAACACTATAACAACAATACACTATAACAATGTATAGCAACACTACACAATAACAACATAAAACAACATATAACTACATATAACAACACTACACTATAATAACATATAGCAACATATAACAGCATAGAACAGCACCATAATAACAATACACTATAACAACATATGACAACATATAACAATTCCGAGAGTTTCAAACATAATTAACGTTTGGTTCATTTCATGATTTATATTGTTTATCAGTTTTCTAAATAACCATGTGTCATATAAATATCAAACTCGGAGATCAGAAACAAAGAGAAACAGAGAAACGTCGTCATCATCATAGACGTTAACACCACATAATTTCTACTCACTTTGTCCTTTTAAGTTCTTTGGGATTTTTGTACTACATTACTCTATTACATGATCATCGTGCTCGTAAATAATAGGATGTCGAAACCACTACCAGCATAATATTCCAGTTTTACAATGAATGTTGATATAATCTCCAGAAATTTTGTCAAGACACTAAAATCGTGCATATGAAACATCGTTGTCCATGAATATAAGCACGAGCTTCGTTATACCTTTACCAGTAAGATGAACAGTGTAAATCAATCCTTCTTTTCACATAATATGCATTATACATAACTCAGGATAGTTAGATATATACTTTAAATACCTTATTCAGAGACTATCTATCTTGGACAATAAAATATGTCTTGCATGCTACCTAATTCTTGTTTGCCATGTAATGGAACATATTACCGGACAAAAAATGTCAATCAACATTGATTAATAATACATGTTTTATAGCTGTAATTACGTTGGCATCTTAAAATATATCAGCTGGCATTAGCAACCGAAACCTTGCTGTACAGTTTCATTTTTAACGCTAAAATGATATTTTCTCTGACTCGATGTTTTACCAGTGATGATTTTGGCGGAACATTAAAACTGAAGCACATTGAATTACATAGTTTTATATACTTGCAGAATTTATCCGAGTCCAAAGTTTAGGCGTCTGGAAAAGGCAGTTTCTATCACAATAGCAAGTTGTATATATATATATATATATATATATATATATATATATATATATATATATATATATATATATATATATATATATATATATATATATATATATATATATATATATATATATATATATATATATACTTTAAATTCGCTTACTCTGTGCCCCGCACCTTATTTTTGATGGTGAATCCAAAAGTAACATAAGACTTGGAATTATAAAATTACTGTTGCAGTCTGAATCGATCACCATTCATTAATAGTTGGTTCACATAGCTGCGGCATATCTTTTAAGTCATTTTTCCATTAGGAGTGCGGCCAAGCCATACATATGGTTTTATTCTCTTGCATGCGGTTTTCTTTGTATACAAGAAATATCACGACATTAATTTTCCGCTGTTGTCTCAAATCAATCTCTCGGGCTTTCAGGCTTGGCTCAGTGCTAATTGGATATACAGTCTGTCAAAGATAATACATTAAGAACATTTGACCACAAATGTAAAACGACACGAATGATACATATCTGATTTGGTTGCTTCCCGAAGTCGGCAAAATAAAGTTCTGTCAAAGGTGTTTTTATATGCATAGCAGTAATAACGATGTTCATCATATAATCTAATATCCTTATTATGTTGCTTATAAGTGAAGAAAAATGTTATTACTTTAAATCAATGTGGGTCTGAAAAGGACTTTTATTAGGTATATGAAATATATCTCACGTCCGTCATCTAGATTTCGATGCAGTTTTCCAATCCGTGTTTCTGTATCATCGACTTTTTACTTCCTAGTGTCGACACTTTAGACATAATGAATCAAAATTTAATAAATCAGATTGGTTATAAATTTAATTAATACAGTAAAGCTGAAACATTTTAAAACCTTACTAAAATGGATATCTAATGTATACTAAACTGTATTCATGTTTTGGTCCGATTCAGGGTAAGGAGTTCATTTAAGATGACTTATGAGTATTCCCCGACCATTATGACCTCGACCTATCACCATGCCATCTCCATGCCATATCAAAATTGTTCTTTGGGTTGAGTCAGAACGAAACTATGTATTTAGATCCTTCCATGTACTTTACATTGCATAATTATCTTCGATAAACTATTTTAATACATGAAGAAACAATTTAATCTGACAGCCTAGTGTTTCAACTTTTGATCAATCGTATTTTACAAACAAGGAATTTCACGACACATTCGAAACTTAAGGATTCGATTTGTTACAAGTTCAGAACTTCGTATTTAATTTTACGTTAAAATCAACTTTGAAGCATCAATCTCAATGGGTATTTCATAATGCTGGACTGTTCCTGATTCGGGTTTTGAAATAGTGTATGTTGTAGAGAAACAACACTTGTGCTCAGACTTTACCTTCGTTGAAGATTGAACCTCTGACTAACGGCTTTTAATCAAACTAAAACAACAACGTCAGCGGGCATAAAAATTAATTAATGTAACACTTTCGCCAACTACGACGATCCATTATTTTCAATTTAATTTCGCACAAAAAATTGTTTGTATGTCAGTTGGATTTTTGTTCTTTGTAACAATTAATCTGAGAGAGATACACTTTTGTTTGATTGTTCCAAATAGTTAAATTTGGAAACTGACTCCAGCACCCTGTGTTGTGAAATTTTGATTGCATTAAGCGTTGCTTCTTAGCTGTAAATCATTAATGGTCGTAAGTTCTTTGCTTAAAACTTATAATGAGGAAAATGTCCCACAATATCACAAGGCATAAGGCATTGCTCGCGACTTTTAAATAATACCTCACGTGATCTCAAATCAGTTTCTGCATGCATTAGTATAATTTCCTAATTATATTTTAAATTCAAGTGCACTTACTGGCTCAGATACGGAAACACAAAAAGACTTATCTTAAGCATTTTGTCAAACAATCGGTAATTAAATGAGATTCGATTTCATCTATAAATCAGTGTAAGTGATCCCGTTTGCTAATTGAGTATTGGACATTTGTCATCTATTTTTAAAAATCTGGAAAAATATTAATGATAAAACCTTGTGATTGGATGGCGCAGAGACAATTTGATTTAGATGGGAGAAAGGAAATTGTGTACTGGCTGATTAATCTATATCGATTGATAATAAATGTAATGCATGCACTGGCTAAGGTCATTTCTGCATCCATCAGTTTTAGGCTTGGAGTTCCAAATGCTTGCCAGTGAAGACGGCTTCGGTTTTAGTTGAAAAAGCAATCAGTGCAGCAATTTGATCTGGGTGATGGTATTGCGTCTTGTTTGATAAATACACACGTCCGATCTCACCTAACACAACTAGATCAATTGTCTTTAAGCTATCAAGCGAGACACGATACAAACATTAAGCTCACGTGTTCCTGTGCCAATAAGGTGTTTATTATACACCTATAACAATGATTTCGTAATAAAAAGACGTTATGTTTTAACAAATATATGGTGTTGCCGTTCTTTTGTCGTTGGTTGCAAACATCTGCTACGTTGAAGCGACCCTTGTTAGTTGACATCGTCCTTTACATCGAGGACTTCTACTCAATATTAAACGCGTTTCTGATAGAATAATTCAGATCTGTCTCTGTGAAATGTAACCTTTATCACGAGTTGTATTACGATGATAATGAATACATCTTAGTCTCTGTCACCTTTTATACCAACTCTTAAGAGTCAAAGATGTTGTGGCAGTCTTCGAATCTTTATCAGTTTTTCTACCGTCTTTCGCGAACCGCAGGTTGCATATTCG